GATGAAAGTGCTGAACAAGTTGCCAAAAGGAACAGATGTTTCGAAGTACAAGTTTCTTTCGACAAAGATAGTGTGCGATTGGAGGCACAGGGACAAAGAATGGAGAAGAAGAGGACGATTAGTAGCAAGAGAGTTCAAGTGGTTAGGTGATACAGACATTGCAAGTTTGTTTTCGCCAACCGGCGTAGCAAGCACAGTGAAGCTACTTTCAGCCCTGTTCGGATCTTCAGAAGGGTACACGCTCGGCAGTATCGATGTAGGTGACGCCTATTTAATGGTGGAGCAGGAAGAGCCGACGATTGTCGAAGTCGATGGAGAAATTTATGAACTAGGGTATACGTTACCCGGACAAAGAATCGGCAGTGCAGCTTGGTTTGGAAAACTGAAAAGCTACCTTGAAGAGTATGGGTTAGCAAGTGATAGTGGACTACCGGCACTATTCTCAAGGAAGCCAGACAAAGAAGGATACGGAATAATCGTGCTGAGTCATGTAGATGACATGGAGCTATATGCTTCAAAAGAAGAATTCAAGAAGTTGGTCGAATTCCTGAAAAGCAAAGGATTGAAGATCAAAGTGGAAGGACCAATGGATGAGAATGAAGGATCAATGAGTTTCCTGAAGAGAAGTCGATGGGAGATGGAAACGTAGCGTAGAGATCACGATGAACACAAAGTACATCGAAGGACTGATTGAAGTGCTCAGACTAGAAGGAGCATATCCGAAGAAACTAGCGTGTCCAGCGGACAATGGAAGGTCGTTTCAGACAAAAGAAGGTGGAATGAATCCACTGAGTACAGAAGATCACCACACGTTCAGAAAAGGAGTAGGAATCTTACTGTATCTCGCGCCCGAGAGGCCAGACATTATGTACGTCTTGAAGAAACTGTCAACAAAGCTCGCATCGCCCGTTGAAGCAGACATGGAACTGTTAAGGTACGTAGGAAAGTATCTCAAAGGATCGCCAGAACTCGCACTGGTACATCAAGGAAGTTATCCTGGAAAAAGTTTCCTCGAAGTGAAGAACAGAAGTGAAAAAGGAAACGAAAGGGACAACTACAAAGTGCCAGCACTCATAGAAGTGATAAGCGATAGCGATTGGGCAGCGGACCGAGAGTCAAGACAAAGCGTTTCATGCGGAGTGATCATGGTGAATGGAAACCTGATTCATTTCCAAAGCAAGAGACAGAAAAGCGTAGCATTGTCATCTTGCGAAGCTGAGACAATTGCAGCGACATCAATCTTAAGCGAAGGTGTATTCCTGAAAGGATTGCTGACAAGAATCCTAGGAATCGAGCCAAGACTGATGTTATACAGTGATTCGTCAAGCTCAAGACAGTTGATCTCAAGAAAAGGTTTAGGAAGAGCACGCCATTTGCAAGTGGACCTTTTATGGATCCAAAGAATTCCGAAGCTTATTATACAGGCGATAGCAGGAAAGGACAATCCCTCAGACCTAGGGACCAAATCCCTGACGCGGGAGAAGATACGAAAGTATATGCTAAGCCTAGGATACACAGGTGAATTCCTAACACCAAGTGAACAAGAAGTTCAAGAAGCAGAAGTAAGAAGAACAAGAACAAGAAGTGTTCCAAGATTTGATGAAAGGATGATTACAAGGATTATCCAAACAGTTACAACCGCAGTGCTTATGTCACTGGCAGAAGCGAGAAGAGAAGAAGGAGAACAAGGACTGGGAAGATCTGCAAGTGTAGTTTGCATACTGTTGTGCATGTTCATGTCAGCGATTATGCATAAAGTTGCAAGCGCAGCCGTTTTGCTCAAGAGAGAAGTCCTGAAGGAAGAAGGAAAAGAAGAAGGAAAAGAAGAAGAAAAGGAAGAAGAAAGGACAAGAGCAATGGCAGACGATGAAGCAGTCAAGTATATGATCATGGAGCACAGTAGGACAATCGAAGCTACTACTCACCTCGAAAGAATACTCAAAAGTGATCAACCAACAAGGCCAAGCGCCGACAACCTCTGGAAGGAGGTAGAAGCGATCAATCAGCAATATGAGATCAGATCGGTTGAAAAGAAGAAGGAAGAGCAGCCAGAGAAAAAGGAGGAAAGTGAAGCAGCGTCGGATCCAGATTCCGATGAGTCCGAAGAAAGTGAGCAAGCAGAGAAGGACGAAGAGGAAGAAGTGCCAGAAGACAAGAAAGAAGAAGACATGAGTACGTTCAAGAAAACTGCAGAAGAACTGGCAGAAGAAGCAGAAAAGTTGAAGAAGGCACAAGAGACCAATTTCGCAGCATTGAAGCAAGGAAGCATTCGGATACCTGAAGACGTCCAAGAGAAGATCATGGAGCAAGGAGAAATTATGGACGAGAAGTTACGGCAGCTGGAAGAGATGAAGGCAGCAGCCAAGGAAAGAAGAGGAGAAGTTACGGCAAAAGCAGACGCCGTGGTGGAAGAGACTCAAAAGATGGAGCAACCAGAAAAGCAGGAAGACAGGAAGGATCAAGCAGCAGAGACAGAGAAAGAGAACGAGCAGCCAGCAGAAAAGGGAGAAGAAAAGAAAGAAGAAGAGAAGAAAGAGGAAAAGGAAAAGGAGGCTGTAAGCCAAGTCCAATCTTCGGATGAAGAAGCAAAAGAAGCAAAAGCAGCCCTACGGGGCGAATTTGACGTTGAGACAATGTCAATATTCCCAACGGTTATGGCTCAGGTTAATGTCGAGTCAATTCGGCAGTCGATGCCATCGTCTACGTTAGAACGCGAATTCATCCTATGGACTGAACACTTGCGACGACCAGTCGCAAGACTTCCGTTAGGGTACGGAATAAGAACGTCAGAGTTTTTGGCAAAAGTAGAAGACGACGTGCAAGAGTATATAGAGAGCATGTCGACGCTCAGCGAGGACGAGCGCAAAGCTGAAGAAGCTTACAAAAAGGCAAGAAAAGAAATGGACCAGTATGAACAAGAACTCAAGAAGGAGATGAGAGAAAAGCTCGAAGCAAGAATGAAGGAAGTTCGAGAACTTGAAGAAGAAGCAGTCGCAGCAAGAGGAGACGTTGAGAAGACGAACAACGTGAAAAGTGCAATGGAGCAGCAGCTAGGTCAAGTTGTGCAAGTGGCAGACAAGCTACTGTCAGCTCTAAGCGAAGAATTCACGGACCTAGATTTGTACAAGAGGCCAGATCCAGACAAGGAGAAAGAAAGACAGGCCTTAGCAAAACTTATGACGATGATCAAGAAGAAGTCTGAAAGTAATCCGTCAACACCGGCAGCAAAGATCAAAGCCATGCCGAAGAAAGCACCAAGCGTTATCAAAGAAGGACTGTCAATCTCTGAAGAGGAGAGAAAGGCAGCGAACACGAAGGATAAGCAGTTGGAGTTGAAGCGCAAGCTGAGAGAGCGTTGCAAAGAAGCATCAGAAGAGATGATCGACAAGGCAGCAAGGGCAAAAGTTGATCATGCAAGGGACAAGCCAAGTGAGCCAGAAGGAACGCCACCAAAGAAGCAAGTGAATCCGTATTGGCTCAAAGGCCAAGGAGATCAAAAGGAAGATTCGTACAAGAAGGCAAGGAACCAGAACTGCTACTACTGCAAGCAGTCGCCAGACCACAGAGCGACTGAGTGTCCTCTGATGGAACAAGCAGTGCGAATGTATTACAGCGGAGAGCGGCCCGAAGCAGGAAATACCGCTCACAAGATTTTCTGCAAGGTATGTTATATCTACTTCCAGAAGATGACCGGAAGGTCATTCAGATATACTGGCTGGGGAACCCATACCCCAGACATCTGCAACTATAAGGACCAAGTGAGAAGCTATCTGGTGGATAATTCATACAAGTATGAAAAGGAACTGAAAGATTTCCAAGAGACATTGGGCATAGGATACAAGCCAAAAGAAACCTGGGGAGCAGAACCCAAGAAGCCCAAGAAAAGTGAAGATCCAAAGACTGAAGAGAAGACTGTGAAGAAGACAGAAGAGAAGGAGCCAAAGAAGAAGAAGCCAGTGGAAAAGTCCAAAGACAAGGACAAAGAGAAGAAGTCTGACAAGGCTGAGAAGACAAAGAAGGTCGGAAAGGAGAAGAAGCGAAAGAGCGAATCTCCGTTCGATCAAGAAAGAGCTGAGAAACGCCAGCGGAATGAGCAAGAGCTTATGTGAACTGCGGCGACGGTTTAAAGAAGCAAAAGAGAGTGAGGGCGTTTACGGAATGCCCAGCAGCAGCAAGGAAGTGAGGCTGAAAGCGGCCAGGCAAAAGTGAGGCTGAAATCAGCCAAGGCAAAACGTTTCACCAAGAAAGCTTTAGAAGCTTGGGAGAATGGCTTTTCTTAGCTTCTACAACAAAAGCCACGAGGATGGAAAGATCCCACGGCAACGACAAAGTCAAAAGCCACGTGGACGAAAGTCCCACGGCAACGTCAAGTCACTACGAGCACCACGATGAATTCAAAAGTCAATGTTCACAGAAAGGACTAAAGACAAAAGTCCGACAAAAGTTTCCAGATTGCCGAACGGCAAGGATGGACTACCTCGCGTACCGCGACGTACAGAAAAGTGAGAGTGCAATGCATGTAGAGTGGAGTGAGTCCATGCCAAATGTGTGTGGAAAGCAAATTCGCAAATCTGCTATAGGACATCAGAAGAGTGAGGATGAAGACAAAAGAAAGAAAAGGATAAAGATGTCCAACAAGTGCTTAAAGAAGCTTGCGAGAAGTGAAGATCAATGCTCCTGCGAGCATGCGAAATCGGTGTTAGAAGTAGCACAAGGATTAGGAAAAGTCTCACAAGATCGTATTACACGACAAAGCTGTGTATACGATGAGGGCGTAACAGAATGTTCAATTTTCCCTCATGCCCGATTTAGCGCAAGTTTCACTGCGTATCTCCGTAGGTCAAACGTAGGCTCAAGACAGCCTGACAGCAGAGCGAGTAGTGAGAAAAGAATCCGAAGCTCGCGCCGTGCTAAGTGAAGGATACTGGTTTAAGGGTTTAAACTTTCACAAGGCCAATGACGACCCCGCATCATTACGGCCCATCGCGCTGCTAGACCCCATGGGCAAAGCAGTCAGCGGTGTTCTGAAGAGGCACCTCGAACCATATCCGTTGAAGGCGACTGCCACGCTGCCACTTTATGGCTATCTAGCGAACAGATCCCCGCAACAGGCCCTCACGTTGGTCTATGAGCACTGCGACAGAGTTCGAGCTGCAGCCCGAGCCCAAACTCGATCCTGGTACGAACTACGAGCGGGACAGAAATCCTTTGATCTCATCCGGGTCCTGATGGTCAGGCAGATTCGAGCCATTGCCCGCAGTCCGAGACACCTCACTGAGGAGAGTGATCTGCATCTACTACAGCGCCTACGGCTGCCTCAAATACATGAGATGCTACTTCAGGTCCACAGTCGAGTCGTTGAGGCTTCCACTTCTTTGCGTCAGATCCTTAGTCCACAAGATGTACGTCTCACGCAGGAGATCGTCCAGCGTGAGTGTCGGCTACTTGAGGTTTTCAGGCAACTTGTTGCTACGGATGCAAAGGCAGATGGCGCACAGAACAGGCTCACTTGCGAACACTGCGGACAATCCTTTGACAATGATGCAGCCCTGCGACAACACAAAGGTCGTATGCACAGCAAGGACAGAATGGCGGCGGCACCCACGGTCTTCGACAGGCAACAACATGGCACTGACGGCATGCCGCGTTGCCGTGGATGCGGGCATCCCTTCGCTAGGTGGGCGGACCTTCAGACGCACATCGAAGAGAACCACCGCCAAGGCAAAATCCAGGCGGAAGCGCCCACCCCTGAAGAGCGGCCCTCCGTTCTGCAACAGGCTCGTGCTGGCGCGCTACATGTGCAGTCGATCACTCTGTCCATGCTGACGGAAGAGCTTAGGCAGGAGCTGCTCTCACATTGTGCGTGTTGTAGACAGTGGATGCCCAACTCCAGATACGTCAAGATACACTGGAATCGAGTGCACAAAGCTGAATCCCAACAGTTTCAGGCTCGTACACTTCAGTGGCGTCGTCTTTCTTTTGAGCCTATCAAAAACACCTGTCCTTGGTGTCAGGGACCAACTGCGGACCGCTCGGATCATCGGGGAACCTGTCCGGTCCTCTTTCAGCTCAATATGGTTCGGGCCATTATCCTGTGCACAGACGAGGCGGAATCTCCGGAGGCTGAGGCATTGATGCCGGACATGACTCTTCCGGCAAAGGACGCCATACCGTCATGGAACATGGAGTGTATGCTGTGCCGCGAGTCGTGCACTGCCAGAGGGGTGCGCAAACATTTGGATCAGAAGCACCGTGCGGTTTGGAATCAGGCTCAACCTAAAGTGGACTTGCTTTGCGCGGCCTGGGCAAAGGGACTTGAAACCAAGTGTCAGTTTTGCAACAGTACGTACAACAAGCGCAATCGGCATGCCATCACTTGTCCTCCTGTTACACAGACTGCGCTGGCGCGAGTGTTGAGCCATACCTCAGCCCCGGCAACGAGCGCACCCCCGACTGATGGCGACTGCAATGACCCCCGGAGCAGCACAGGCGGCGATTCGACGATTCAGGAGGTGTTCGGATCCTTGGTTGCGGAGAACGGGCCGCTGATGGACATCGGAGCGGGCTTACACATGGGCAAGCGCAACTCGGAGAATCCACAGGGACCCACAACGAGCCGACCAGCCAAAACGGGCCGCCTCAACAACGGCCAAAAGGGCGGGCGCGGCAAAGGAGGGCGACCGTGGCATCAGCAGGGCAGACGCTTTGTTTCCGAGTCCAGCAACCAGCAGCAGCAGCAGGAGGAGGTGAGCATGGAGGACCTATTGCGACTCCTGTCTTCGATCATCATGCGACACGAAGACCAGTTGAAGATTCTGAGACAATCAACGGGATGGGTGTTGTTCGCAAAGACAGCATCCCCGACCATTGTACCGGGGATCATCAAGGCCTCCATGAAGTGGAAGGCCGAGGTAGTCAAGCCGGACTGCAAGTTCGCTCACGTGAGCTTGCGGGCAATCCTCTTCTGGAATCTGGTGGAGCAGATGTTAGCGGTGCTGCAGGGTCTTACGCAGGAGATGAAGGCCAAGGCTGTGGAAGAGGGGTGGATGAACAGAGCGGGAGCGTGGGTGTTTCAGGAGTGGTCGCACGAGAAACACTGCCTACAGGTCGACAGCACAAGGGATCCAACAACGACAGAGGAGCTCCTCAACATTCTGCGCGAGCTGAAGACTCTCGCGACCTCGGAGGTGAAAGGAGGTGGCGCACCGTTTCTACGTGTTGTTGGAAGCTCTTCAAGGACAGGCCTCCCTTCAACTGTGCGGTGTCCAACTACGCAAAGAGGGCTTTCGGAGATCACCGGCGGTGCAGAAGCTGGCAGAGATGCTTCGCTGAGGACGCTCATCCTGCGCAACCCTTCCAATTACTGCTACATGAACTCAGTGGCGCGGAGCTTATTATGGACCATTGTGCAGGATCCTACGCTTGATGGCTCCTTCGGCAGCGCCGGGCTCACCTTTCTTAAGAAACTACTCCAACACAACCAACAACCCGTGTTCATTGCAGGTCAATTGATGTTCAACTTCGCTCTCCGGGGATGGAGGTCACCGGCAATACAACACGATTGTGCAGAGTTCTTTTCACACATCATTGACCGCTTGGGCATCACAGCATTTGAAGGTGAGTGGGAAGCACGTACAATGGTTGAGGACTCTCCGGGACAGTTTCGATGTGAGTGCTCTGATACTGGTCAGTGTACGGAGTCGATTTCAGTCGACCTACCTGAGGGGCGAGTGCATACTGCTCAGTATCTCCTACATTGCTGGCACACGCAAGCTCGCCCGCATGCCTTGAAGGTCGCACCGGCTCTGTTGCTGCTGCGCTTTTCTCGATATGTACAGGCGGGCCGAAGGATCAGACAACGTGCCTGTAAGATTACTTGGCCGCGGCAGCTTCACCTGCCGCTTTTCAGGGGGAATGATGATCTTACATCAGGCACGATCGCCTATGATGTGCTGGCAGCCATTTCACATCATGGTCCCACCCTGAGTGCGGGACATTATACAACTTTGCTCCATGCGGCAGGGGGCGACCTTCATTGCGATGACAATACCGTTCCAGAGTTCAGGGTTAAGGCCTCAGATGACACTACCCCATATTCGTCCAGTGCAGTTTATCTTTGGTTGTGCAGGCGCACAACGGAGTCCGGCCCTTTGGTGGTCGGGTGAATGCGATCTTCTTCTTTTCGGGGATCCACAACTCTGCCAGCACAGGTCACTCCTGGGGTGACGTGAGTGACGGTCAAACGGTTGTGGCATGTTTTCTCAGGGATATTTGCTCTCAGTGCAAAATCAGTGGAGCTTGCTAATGCCTTCAGTGCGACCGTGCATCAGCGTGACTCTTGATTCTACAAGATGTACAGTTGGGCATGCTTGCCGGTGCACTCCAGTTCCAGCTTTTTCATTCGTATTGCGCCTGCGTGAACATACAACTTTGCGTTCCAACACGGTCCACACTACGCCTTTTCTTTACGGATTCTTGGGCATGCGCTGGTTTTCTGCACATGTCGGGTACACATGATCCGGATGCCGCCATCCATGCGCCCTGGTTTGTGGAGGGACGCTTTGATGTGCATCTTTATTATCATGATTGGCCGGATCCCTATGAGCCCACTTCGCCGACAGTGCTTGACTCCGAAGTTCAGTCCAGCTCTTCTGCATGCACGGTGGAATATACTCGGGATGACAATGTTGATGATGGACCGCTCTTGCTGCGCTTGTCATTCTATGTAGGTACCCCGAGTCTGCCGCTGATCGAGCCTGACCCTAGTCACACCGCGGAGTGTATGGCCAGGCACTTTCTACGCGTTGGCAGCTTCTTTGAGGATCAACTATCTTCGTTGTGGGACCTACTTCCACATGACAGCCCACGTGGACATCAAACACTTTTCGACGGAGACTCCACTGCTGCATTCTCGTTCACCACGGGTGCTTTTCAGGCTGGCGGACTGGTCGGCATACGCAGCAACGCGCTTCAGATGCCATGGGTCACTGCATTGCTTTGTCGTATTGTGCACTCTGTATTGCTTGGCGAGGGTGCTGAGGATCATCACTTCACTTCGCTTTCGCTCTTGAGGAATGTGCATTCTGGCATACATAGAGATGCAGATTTAGAACGGAGCGGAGCGAAGTTCTGAATGTTTTATACCCGGACGATGCTTTTTGGCATTGGCCAAAAACTTGATTTCGCAATCCCGTTTTTCAATCACTTGTTTTGAACCATTCTTTTGCAAGTTCCTTTGATGACTCTTATGCTCTTGGCATAACGAATGTTGTGACTTGCATTTCTTGATCAAGGGTGGGTGGGAGGGAGCGCCTCCTTGAATGGGCAAATTTGACATGGCCTGGGGGTGCTACTTTGAACAGGTTCTAACGGGCCCTTGAAACGAAACTTTGACGTTTCCTCTCAGAGGGCCCGATCCATGGATGCTGACCTTTCTGGTCACCTGAGAAGGAAGAGGGACAGCAGTGCTTTGGATGATCACTTGATTTATGCTGTCCGTGTTTCTACCACTACATCTGAGAAGCAGCCCTGGGAGAGGGGCGACATCCTGGCGCCTCGATCAGCTTTCTCGTCTCCCTTCCCGAGTGTCGGCAGGCCTCAGGTAGCTGCGCAAGTTCTGCCTGCCCCAAGTTCGTCTCCTGCAGGAGCTGTTACAACTTCTGTGGCTGTTAAAGTATTGGGCAAGCTGCCGGCTACGAAGGGGCCTAGTTGGGAGGAGAAATTGACTGATAACAGGCGGGCTGCAGTGGCAAAATGGGAGGCTCTTCTTATGTCTCACGGCGAGCACTTTGATTGCTACAGGGGAGTCAGTGGCGACGCCAGTGCGGGACGCAAGGCAGATCTGGTTCAGACGCTGAAGGACTGTTTTGCGGGCAAGGCGAGCGCGACTCTGCACTCGAGAGTGGGACCGATGATGCGTTATGTAAAGTTTACCAAATCTGCTGGTCTTGATGCTTTTCCTTTGACTGAGAGCGTCTTATATGTATTCATGGATCAGTATTGTCGGACGGCGGCGGCAACCTTTGGAAGGAGCTTCCTTGAGTCTCTGAATTTCGCTGTGCATGTCTTGGGCCTCGATCTGCATGTGACCATCAGTGGCAGGATACAAGGGGTAGCCAAAACCAGGTACCTTGAAAAAAGGAAAGCTGTCCAGAAGCCGGCGCTTACAGCGCTGCACGTGAGGACTCTTGAGAAGATAGTGATTGGAGGAACCGTTGAAGAATACGCCACCCTTCAATCGTGATTGACAGGGTTTTATTTCCAGATTTTGTTTTTTGAAGGAAAAACTGTAGTTTTTCCTTTGTTTCCCACTTTTCCGTTTCGACTTTTATCGGGCAAATCTTTTCACACGCAAGTTGCGGCAACATCTTTACAACATGTCTTGATGTGAACGAACTGCGCAGTTTTCCGGATCACAGTCGGAAAATCCGTAGCCATTTTGGCTCAAGTTTTCCGGATCACAGTCGGAAAATTTTGTGTGAGCCTCGAGATCCTTCTGCTGTGGTGCCGCACACCGTTGCCAGGGTTCCCCCGACGGAATAGTGGCTTGAGGGCTTGCTCTCGCTGCAAGGGGAGTGAGCACTGGTAGGTGTGGCAGGCCACCCGGTAGACACGTCTAGGATCTTTCTAAAAGGCCCTGGGTGCTAATCTGGTGCTTCTAGCGAGTGGGGCGGGTCGCTACATGGACTACGAGGGCAGCGAGTCCTCCGCGTCTTTGGCAAGTACCTCAGCGAGCTCTCACTTTAGCGATCTTAGTTTTGATTGCGTCTTTGCATCGGGACCCGTGTGCAAAGTGCGAGTGACGATTACGCTGTGGAATTTCCTTGATCCTGCTGCTAGATCAGCTCTGCTGGCTTCGAGTGCTTCCACTCGCAGCGATTTCTTGCAGGAAATCCTCTTCGTTGCAATTAGGGCTGGTCTGCAGCCCCTGCCGTGAGCACGGCCTCGCTTCAGGGCCTTGGCTCGTGGGGTCTCTTCGATGGCTGCTGAAGCTTCGGCCTCCGATCTATGTGATCGTTTCGAGCAACACCTCCAGCACTTGACTCATGATGTTGTGGCCCCACTCAGCTATCCGTGGGACAGGAATAAGGCCTTGTCTGCCATTTTCTCAGGAAAACCAGGCAGAAGCGTCGACCTTCATAGCGTCAAGGTGCCAAGAGTCGTGCCGCCGCCAGCCACGCAGTACAGGCGGCCGGGTGATTCAGACGAGCCGCTGCCGGTGGCTCTGCAGTGTACCAAGGTTGTGCCCGTCTTTGAGGCTGTGCTTAAGAAGCCCAGGCTACAGGCAGGCGAGAAGGCCGGTGTCGATCGAGAAAATGTCCTACGTCGGTGGCTCTGTGTTCTGAGCCACTCACCTGGTGCCTCGAGGTTGGGGGTTCTCATTTGGGCGAAAGGCGAATCTGACCCCTTGGGGGTCGTGGCGCAGGCCTTGGCTGGGAAAGCAACATCGACTTTGCTTAAGCGAGCCCGATTTTCTGCACGATTCATTTGTTGGGCCGACAAGCATCATGTGAAGGCTTTCCCGGTGAGCCTCGATTTTCTTGTGAGCTTCCTCAAACCACTTGCAGCCGAAGCCAGGAACAGTGCCATTCGTGAGGCTATGGAAACTGTGAATTTCCTGGAACATGTTCTCGGAATTGAGGTCGAACAAGGAATCAGTGACAACCCTTGGGTCAAGGGTGCGCTGCGGGGAGCCAACATTCGCACCTGTGACCCGAGACGTTCGAGAGTCCTGAAGGTCGAGGAGGTGCTCCTCCTCGAAGGAGCGCTGATAGAGGGAGCCCTTGACAAGGTGGACAGGTACGCTACAGGGGTCTTCTTGTTCCAGCTTTACTCCAGGGCTCGAGTGTCCGATCTGAGGAACATTTCGAAGCTTGAGCTTGACCTTGATGGCGATACGGGTTTCATCGAGGTCAGAACTTATGAGCACAAGAATTGCCGGTTGAGCAGTGGACCGGGGGCCGTGCTCATTTTGGTTGCGCCGTACCATGGGCTCCACCAGAAGCCTTGGGGCGCCGCTTGGGCAGAGGCGGCGAAGGCCGTTGGCTTCGACTTCGAGAAGGGGCATCGCGGGCCGTTGCTCCCCCGCCTGGCCTGCGATTACTCTTGGAGCGGGGATGCCATCGATGCCAACGAGACCACTACATGGATCAGGGCGCTGCTTTCACGGCTGCAAGCGGCCGAAGAAGATCTTACATTCTCCTCGCACGGCTTGAAGGCAACGCCGCTTTCTTGGACCTCGAAGGCTGGATACAGTGAGAGGACGCAACTTGTCCTGGGACACCATAGCTTAGGTCCAAGTGGGAAAACGCAAGAAGCTTACGCTCGCGAAGTGCAGGCGCAGCCGCTACGAGATCTTGCAGAATGTCTTGGTGCCATCCGGCAGGGGGTTTTCCATCCGGATCGCACGAAGAGCGGGATGATTGCAGGAGGTGCGACCATCCGTGAGTCGCGATTCTCTTTGGCACCCTTGGGTCGTGCCAATCTTTCGCCATCTCACGAGAGCTTCGAGTGCGCTCCCGAGGTTGAGCTGGCCGAGGATGGAGGCGTAGAACCTCCTGATGATCAGGACCTGGGTGAACAAGAAGACGTTCACGAAGCCTCGAGCAGCGAGTCTGAGAGTTCCGGTGAGTCCGAGGAGGAGACTCATTATGAGAGTTTTGGAGCAGGCGAGGCGCAGAATGCGATCCCGTCTGTGAACATGGGCCCTGATTTAGACATTTTTCAGAACCCGAAGACCAAGAGCCTTCACTCACGAGCGAAGGGTTCTACTGGCAAGTTGATCTGTGGAAGGTCGCTTGACAATATGAAGCCTTTCAGTGGAAAGGTCTTCAGCAGTAGATGGCTGTGCAAGCAATGCACAGCAGGCCGGCCCCTCCGCGACGCAGGGGCCATGGCGAGTTTCATCGCTAAGAAGCAGGGCGCTTCTAAGTGAGAAATGTCGTGTGACGTGCGATGCTTGCGGATCACCACTTCAGTGTATCGCTGAGCTTCACAGTCATGTCTGATGGACGAGTGGTCAATTGCGCACCGACCCAGAGCATGGTTCGGAGACTCGTCCGGGCAAACAAGGGTTTCAGTGGAACCTTTGGTTTACCTCGTGGCCGCCACGGGGTCCGGACGGGCGGACCAAGCTCGGCGATGCGATGATGACCAGCAGTGCGTTGTCCACATGCAAAGCTTGCAATCACTGTGTGCATGATTGGTCCTTTGCATGTGCGTGTCTCAAGACCAGTTTCTGTGAGTGCACATAGGATCGGAGATCATGGCGCAAACCCTTGTAGAGTCCAAGGCAGTCTTCCTGGAGCGAGCCAAACGTGTGGGCCTCCCTCAGGAAGCAGTGGATCGCCTTGTTGCACAGACCATCGACACGATGGCGAAGCTAGCGTTCGCCCCTTGCCAGCCCGGCGAGACGCCGACCGAGGAGTCGTTGTCGGCCCTCATCAAGGTGGGAGGTGCAGCCCCGCCGTTGGGATCCATCGCAGCGGTTCGACACCTGGTGTTCGAAGCACAGACCCTCTTGGTCAGCCAGACCAAGGCACTCGTTGAGAACAAGGAGAACGAGGTCAAGGAGTTAGCCCCCGCGGAGCGCCGCGAGCGCATCCGAGCACAGGCCAACAAACTTAGAGGCATCACCATGTCTGGCCAGACTGAGTGCAGCTACGCCTCGTATGACCTCTGCATGAAGCTCCTTACTGATAACTGCATCAGCTACCTTTCCCCGGCCAAGTTCATCACTCGTGAAGCTGAGCTGCGTTCCGAGAAACCGCGGAAGGAGTTGGATGTACAGGCTTCAACACTGGTCGTGAGAGATCGTGACCCCGATCAGTCATGCGATACTTCCACTGCACTGAGCCTTCACCATGCCATGCACCGTCGAAGCCTTGCTCTTGACTTGATCGGTGTGACTGATTACTTTAGGGTTCAGGGCTTCGTGGATTTCCTCTTGGGCCACCTTCATCAGGAGCCCATTGCTGGCAGCCGTGCCACTTCTGTGCAACAAATTCTGCATGCGGACCGTGCTGCCTGGATGCGCCTGGCAGAGCTTACCCCCGACGGGATTCGTCGAGATGCAGCCGGGGCTTTGCCTCTTGACAGTTTGTGGGCCCGCTTGCAGACTGACCCGAAGGTGATTTTTCATCTCCTCCCGCGAGAAGGTGGTGCCCTCAAGCGGGAGAGCACCGAGCTCAAACCTGAGCCCACAGACACCCCGACCAAGAAGCAGCGCAAAGGTACCGGCAAGGGAAAAACCAAGACATTGCGCGAGCCTAGCAATCTTCCAGAAGAACTCAAGGGCCTTTCGTCTTGGACTAAGACCGGAAAGCGCCGCTGCTGGGGATTCAATATGGCTAGTGGGTGTCCTAATGCCAAGGTCGGCCAATCCTGCCCCAGGGGTCTGCACAACTGCATGCGTTGTGGCGGTCACCACCCCGCGCATGCGTGTCCAAAGAAGCCATGAAGCGCATGCCTGCCTGAGCCCGACAGCGTGCCAGCACCGTGTTTTCCATCGCCCAGTGTTTCATTGGATGCTTCACTGAGCGCCTCAACCCCGCAAGCATCGGCCGCTGCATCCAGCAAATCGCATTGTTTTCCTTCTCGTCCTGCTGAGGCTGCGAGCCCTGTGGAGGGGCCGCTACTTGATGCCGGGCACTCTCTTTGCGGTGCTGATGCTTTCAGGATTGATTCCCTCTTCTGCATTGAAATTGTCTCAGGCTCAGGCAGGCTTACTGCCGAACTTCGACGTGCAGGGTTCCGAGATAGCATCGGAATCGACCATGTTGCCCCAAAGCAAATGATTTCTCCCGTCCTTAAGCTGGACCTCCTTGATCCCGAACATGTAAAGATGGTTCTTGATCTGATCGATTCTCCCTTTTGCCTTTATGTGCACATCGCTCCCCCTTGTGGAACGGCGAGTCGTGCTCGTGAAATTTTTCGTCGCGGTGAAAACCTACCCGCTCCCGCGAGAAGTGATGCCCACCCGGATGGGCTACCAGACCTCACTGGCGAGCTCCGCATTCGCGTTGCTAAGGCCAACGACCTTTATGCCGTCACTGGCAAGATCTTTGCACACTGCATCCGTTCTGGGAAGCTCGTCTCTTGCGAGAATCCAGGCCGCTCTTACTTCTGGCAAACGACCATGTGGCTCACTGCCGTTGCCGACCTGCAGTTTGAGGAAACCCTTTTTCATAACTGCCAACACGGCGGTGAGCGTGCCAAGCTCACCCGCCTAGCCCATAATGTCCCTTTGCTACACGAGCTATCCCTTCTCTGCCCGGGGGAATCAACATCTCATCGCCACCTGCCCTGGTCGCGATCCTCAGGTGCCTTCGACACAGCCGCCGAGAAGGTCTACCCTCGTGTGCTCTGCCAACGTATGGCCGACATCATTGTCCGTGCTGCCGCCGAACGTGGCCACCCTGCACCCGCTTCATACCTTGCGCCTGGTGCTGCCCTTCCCCTGCGTGAGTCTCAGGTTGCAGCTGGTGTGCAACCTCGCAGCAAGCGCGTGCCACCCCTTGTGCCCGAGTTTCGGCAGATTGTGGTTCTTCTTAGTCCTGAACCCCTCTTTCCCGGCGTGCGTAAGTTGGAAGCCGATACCCCCCTTCCACCTTGTGTCTCATGCTCGCCCTCACTGCCGACGCTTCCCGCGGGCACTCGGATCCTGCGCCAGAGTGTCATTGGGGTTGTGCCAGCTGGAGCGCAGGAATCGTGCTCAAGTAACTCAGCCGCCTCATCCACACCTGTGTCGCATCCCACAGTTGCCCCTAATGCCGAGGCGGAGGATGATGGAAACTCAGCCATCATGGAGGACGACCAGATGGACCCCGAAGCTTTCTCGCATTATGCTCTCCACTTGGGAGCGTCAGCCAGCAACGAAGCATGGCGCGACTGCATTTGCCACTTGTGTGAGCTACTTGTCTCGGATACCCCGTCTAGGGGCGGACGAGGCACTGATGAATTCTCCTGGTCATGTGGTGCCTTCTTTCATGCCAACAAGGTGGGCCTGCGTTCCAACACCTCATCGCACCCCAGTGTGAGCAAACTCTTGTGCGAGTATGTGCGCCGGGTTGCCCCGGGCCATCCTTTCACTTCCCTGATGCTGGGCAAGAACCTCGCAGGCAAGGTGCATACCGATAGAAACAACGAGCCAGGACTACCGAATGCGGTCTTGAAGATTTCCTCCTTCGAGCAAGGGGGAGTGTGGATCGAATCACCTAGTGGCTCCGTCGCTTGTCCTGATCCTGGCCACCCCGAGCTTTTGGGAAATGTTCTTGACTTCGAGGGCCGACGAATAATCTTTGATCCGAGTGGTAGGCACTGTCAAGCTCCATGGTGTGGGGGACCCAGGATCACGCTTGTTGCCTATGCGATACGCGATCACCACAAACTTCTTGACGATCAGAAGAGACAGCTTGTAGACCTTGGTTTCGGCCTCCCTGGAAGCTCCCCAGAGTGCTGCCCAACAGCCGGTCCCGAGGCAGCCACCCGTAAGTCTGGTTTAGGCCCCAGCTCCTTGACTAAGCCACCACCTGGGATCCCGTCCTGCAGCATGCCAGAAGGTGGCCGTATGCACAAGGTGGCCGTAGGCATCCCTTGGAAACCTCAGGAGTTCATTGAGCAAGCACTGAAAGCTGGGCACCCCCGTCACCTCTTGGACGGTGTGCCATCACATTCCAAGACGGCCATCGACCGTCTTGCTGACATGTCGCTTCATGAGATAGGAGCCCAACGCACCGAGAGGCTCCGGCATTGGATCAGCAAGGCCCGTGAGCTGGAGGCCGAGGAAGAGGAGTTGCGTGACTCAATGCCGCAACATTGCAAACGTGTCCTGGGGCGGAAGCGGCTGGTCCTTTTTAGGACCATGCTCGAGGAGTGTGGCCACGAGGACCTAGAGATAGCGAATGACATCGCCAAGGGTTTTGACCTCAGTGGTGCGATCCCGAGGAATCCTGCATATCGCCCCAAGCTGTCACCTGCTTCCTTATCCGTATCTGATCTCCGGAGCTCTGCAGCTGTGATGAGGGAAGCAACTCTTCTCGCCACCAAAAGTTCCGGGGACCCCGAACTTGATGAGGCCCTCATGGCGGCCACTGACAAGGAGGTCGCCAAGGGGTGGTTACGAGGACCCATCGATCCTGCTTCGCTAGGTCCTAATGCTGTCCTCTCGCGCCGCTTCGGCGTTTGGCAGGGCGGCAAGTGTAGGCCTATAGATGACTTCAAGGCCTCTGGGGTTAACTCAACGACTTCAGCCGAAGACTCGGTGACTGTGCACACGGCGGATGCAATCGCCGCTTCCATTGCCTACCGTCTCAAGCGCGACCCAAAGTGCCGACGGCACGGCGGGCTCGAGATGAAATCTTATGACTTACACAAGGCGTATAAGAATCTTCCTTTGAGCACTTCGGCGGTGGAGGAAGCTTATCTCTCGGTGTACAACCCCCGGTCGGGGAAAGCGGAGATCTACGAGCAGTGCGTGTTGCCCTTCGGCGCTCGTGCGTCGGTCCACTCGTTCTGCAGAACTTCACTTGGCATCTGGACGATTGGGGCGATTCAGCTGGCTTTGATGTGGTCAGTGTATTACGACGACTTTGTCGGCAACGAAGTCCCGCCACTTACACGGCTCTTTGACCTTTGTGCTGAATCGCTTTTTCAGATCCTTGGCTGGGACACGTCTCCAGACAAGCCTACCATCTTCGGAGGCGTGGCAAAAGTCTTAGGCCTGGAGTTTGACTTGCGCGAATCCTACCTCGGCAACTTCTACATGAGGAATACGACGACTCGACGCGAGGAGCTGAGAGAAAGTCTTTCTTCTATCATCGAAAAAGGAGTGCTGGCTAGGAAAGACTGCGAGAGGCTGAGGGGCCGCCTGCAGTTTGCCGCCAACCAGGTTGCTGGGAAGAAGGCTGGCATCGCATTCAAGATCCTGTCCAAACATCTTACGGAACGAAGCCCGAGCATCGGAGACAATCTGAGGGCTGCACTTCTGTTCCTGAGGGACAGATTTCTTGAAGGGCCCCCGAGGGCTCTGAGTGCCAACGTCTTGCATCTTTGGCATGTATATGTGGACGCTTCTTGTGACAACGATCGCATCGGTCTTGGAGGAGTTCTTATCTCGGACAATGGAACGAAAGTTGGGCACTTTAGCGAGTGGGCCTCTGATGAGCTACGACTTCTCGTTGGCCCCGAGAGCAAGAACCCCATCTTCGAGTGCGAGTGTTTGGCGGTACTCATGTGCATACATGTATGGAGGGGACTCCTTAAGGGATGCAACATTGTCGTCTTCTCGGACAACGAGGGCACTCGTGCCTGCATGATCAAAGGAGCATCAGACAACTCAGTCGGGATGCGCATCGTAGATGCCACTCATGATGCCATCGACGCCGCGAGCTGCATACCTTGGTTTGAGCGCGTGAATACCGCATCGAACATAGCAGACGATCCCTCTCGAGGAATATCTGACGAAAGCCTTGGTCAGCGTTTCGAAGTGGATGCGCTGAGCATCGCAAAGTCTGCATTGGTTCCATGGGGATGAGTCAATTGCTGACTATCCGATGCGTGCATTGGAATGCACATTGCGTGATGTGCTGTATGTACATCATGCGGAGCATCACGGATGCTCGATGAGGGGAACCTTTCACTTCGTTTCGACCTACTCGGAATTTCCCCGAGCGACGGCTTTCGCCAGACCTTTAAAAAAGAGAGAGTGGGCGCTGCATGTTTCATTGAATTATATATATTCAACGATGACACATACATTGACTGGAGTCTCACTTTGCGCAACAAATATATTTCGCTCAGAAATATATTTTGTTTCTTTGGGAACATATAGAAACAGAATTTGGAAATAAGCCACCCTTCAATCGTGATTGACAGGGTTTTATTTCCAGATTTTGTTTTTTGAAGGAAAAACTGTAGTTTTTCCTTTGTTTCCCACTTTTCCGTTTCGACTTTTATCGGGCAAATCTTTTCACACGCAAGTTGCGGCAACATCTTTACAACATGTCTTGATGTGAACGAACTGCGCAGTTTTCCGGATCACAGTCGGAAAATTTTGTCCCGCCCGCCCTCCCCGGGATGAGTCAATTGCTGACTATCCGATGCGTGCATTGGAATGCACATTGCGTGATGTGCTGTATGTACATCATGCGGAGCATCACGGATGCTCGATGAGGGGAACCTTTCACTTCGTTTCGACCTACTCGGAATTTCCCCGAGCGACGGCTTTCGCCAGACCTTTAAAAAAGAGAGAGTGGGCGCTGCATGTTTCATTGAATTATATATATTCAACGATGACACATACATTGACTGGAGTCTCACTTTGCGCAACAAATATATTTCGCTCAGAAATATATTTTGTTTCTTTGGGAACATATAGAAACAGAATTCGGAAATAAAGCGGCTTCGACAGACATTGTGCTGGGTTTTTCTGTTATACTTTGTACGCTCGACTCGGGCCCGGTTCTCCGATGCCCAAGCCTCGGCTAACCTCATGCTTGATGTCACCGAGAGCGACGACGGGCCTTATGGGTTCCTGGAGGCCTCTGTTACGAGGTCCAAGACGTCGTATACTCTGGAAAGAAAAACGAGATTCCTCCCAATGGTTGCTCCTATTAATGGACTGCTTGATGAGTCTTGGGGGACTGCATGGTACAAGCTCATGAAGGAACAGGGGGTGACCCTTCGAGAGGGTTATCCGTTGCTGTCGTCGCCTGTCACTGGCGGCGGGTTCAGTCTGCTGCCCATCTCGGCCGAGCATGCTGCGAGGATTTTGCGGGAACTTTTGAGGCGCGAGCTCGGTGATTCCGCTGACATCAGAAAGCTTGGAACGCACAGCTTAAAGAGGACCTTGTTGAGCTGGCTTGCTAAATATGGAACTGAACAAGGCGTGAGGGCCATTTTGGGTTACCACAGCACTCACTGTGGAACGGAGTTGGTATATGCCAGGGACACGCTGAGCGGCCCATTGCGGCAGCTTGGATCCGTTGTGAGTGCTGTGGCATTGGACCACTTCCGGCCTGACAGCACGCGCTCGGGATATTTTCCCAGTCGCAAGGGTCGAGAAGATGCAGGCTTCGATCCCAATGCTCCGGAGCAAGAAGAGCTTGACAGTTCTTCCAGTGGAAGTGAGGACGAGGAGGCTCCGGATCACGATGAGGTCGAGAAGGCCTGTGATGCTCTGGCTTCCTGGGAGCCTCGGCCGGGTCTTCGTGATCTGATCGGCGAGGGTCCCGTCTTCAAGCATAAGACTACGAGGGTCATCCATTTGATGGCCAGCAGTGATGAAGGTGATCGCTTTGTCTGCGGTCGCAAGCCGTCAACTAGCTACATCCAGACGGCTGTGCCTAATGTTTTGTTTCCTCTTTGCAGGCAATGCTGTCCTGACCAGGACGGGCCTTGAGTTTCACGCGAGATCGGCGAGAGGTCATTGCAACTTGAGCGGTTGTGCTACCGGTGAATGCTTCCGGCTTGCATGGTATGTGAGCTTCTGTCTTGATGCTGTGCGATTTGCAACCGTGCACCTGAGACGATCCATGCTCTTCTTTGTTAGGACCTGTAGCTGAGTGCTTGGGTCGTGCCATGGCGGCCTCGTACTCAGAGTCCGAAGCTGTCTTCAGCGACAAGGTCAGGACCTCGGGCCTGTCGGCTGCTGACCAGACTAATGTGTTGGCTGGACTGAAGAATTTGAAACAGCTGGCATTTGTCAGCTCCTTCACTCCGGGACAAGCCGATGAGAAGCCTTTGATTGCGGCTTTGGATGCTCTAGTCAAAAGGGACACCAGCGCTGACTTAGCTGCTCAGGCGTGCTTCAGGGCTCTCTTCCAGCAGGCTTACGCCATAGTCACCACCGAGTTTAGGCAGGCCATTGAGCGCACTGAAGACGCTCCCAGTCGGTCTCTCAGCGCGCCTGAGCGTGAGGAGCGCTACACGCGACAGGTGAAGAAGTTAACCGGGATCAACATAAAAGGCGAGACTGAACCAAGTCAGGCCTTGGTTGATCTCTGCGTGAATATATATGAGTCGAACACTTTGCGCTACGTGGCCTGGGAGAAGTGCACTAGTCGGCTTGCCGAGGTTCAAGGCGATGCCAAAAAGGACACTCGATTCACACTCGATGCTCAGGGCAAGACCTTGAAGCTTGAGTCGAAGGCCCCAGATGACAAGTGTCAGGTCGAGCCCTTGCCCTGGACCAAGCCAATGTGGTTGATTATGCTGTCATCGATGTCTGGCATCAGAAGTTGCTTGGGGCGCGGATGCAGGAGGTGCCAGCAGGTCATGTCCGGCCCAGCTTCAAGCAGCTCTTGCGGGCCGATCAGAAGCTTTCTCTCGGAGTTGCAGGACCGCTGTCGTGCAGGAATCCAGGCCACATCAGCCGGCCGCCCCTTGGATGGCCTGATTCCGTTGGTGATGGATCTGAGTGATGTGGCAGTCCTATTGCAATCCTTGCCTGGAAATGCCTCCTCCTCTTCTGATGTGCCTCCGGGTCCGTGGGTCTCTCGCGAGAGGCCGAGCCCATACACTCGAGAGGGTAAAGGCCGAGGCAAAGCGGGTAAAGGACGTGCCAAGGGGAAGGGCGTGCTGCCTAAGCCGCTTGTGGGCTGCTACAGTTCGACAAATGCTGGCGAACCCATATGCTTCGATCACAACATCAATGGATGCAGCCGGGTTGTCAAAAGCGGCAGATGTGAGAAAGGGATACATATATGTGCCCGATGTCGTCAGAGCGGCCATACTGCTGCTAACTGCCCCAAGAAGGAGTGACTATCGAGTGTGGTCGATGCGACTGCAGATGGCTGGGAATGTCCTCAGCTTGACTCATTGGAGTCTCAATCCCCGAGTTCGGCTAATGAGCTGGACCATGCAATGCCTTGCCCTGTGGGGCCTGCTGCAACATTGGTTGCTGCTTGCGCTTCACTCAATGAGAGAATGCATGATGCCGGTTCGCCCGAGGGCGGTGAACCTTCTGTTGGCGCGCGTGATTGTGCCACCGCGGATCCTCCTAAAAGGAAATCCAGTGACAGCGACCGTGAGTCGCCGGGCAAGGCGCCTCGACTGGGAGGCCCTGAAGCCCTTGCCTCTGATTTGCACCGCAAACACTTGTTCGATGCAGCTAGTGTGCTTTCTCTCTTTGACCTTCTGCCAAAGCTGATATCACACGACTTTCTCAAGCCAAAGGCTCAGTCTTCGCGGTGGGGTCGTATTCTCACGGTCCTATCAAAGGTTTGCGGCATTTCACCCGAATTTATCCCAATGTCTGCCGATACTTGTGTGCTTGCGTCCTGCATGTCCTTCCGACGCACAAATTTTCAAGTCTACTGATCTCTGACTCGGTTGAAAGTCAACCTCACACTGATCCCAACAACGGCCCGACATTGAATCTCTTGATACCTCTGACTCACTTTTCAGGTGGCTCACTGCGAGCCGGTGATTGCGATCTCGACTTCAGTCGGGGTGCCTGGGCTTTCAATGCTCGTGACGGCTGCCACGCCGTGGCGCCTTTTCAGGGTCGTCGGGTTATGCTCATAGCTTTCAGCACCAAGGGCGTTTGCGATTCCGACTCTGAGGTGTTGACTCAGCTCCAGTTCTGTGGTTTCGCCCTTCCCAGCGCTGATGCTGTGATGCCCGCGTCTCCAGTGGGCCCTCTACCTGACATCAGGAGCTCTGTCGCTCATGAGCCCCTGAAAGTGCTGAAGCCTTCCCGGCTTGTTGTCCTCGACCTCTTCTGTGGCCGAGGTGCCGTGGGCCATGCGTGTGCCGAGATTGGGTTTAAAACTTTCTGTTATGGGTCCCAGTCTGCGGGCCCTGTCAAGCATAAGATGTTGCAGCTCAGGCCCGAACGACAATCCACTTGGCAATACTTGCGGCGCCTTGTTATGGCTCACCGGGTCTATCATGTCCACATGTGTCTTGATCAGACCCTTAATTCTGCAGAGCTTGATCATGTGACATCTTTTGTCGCTCACGTGCTACAGCTACAGATTGGACTCACCGCTTGCGGCCCAGCCGATAACTCGGCTTGGCAACGATCGCCGTTCAGTGACTCTTTGCCTTCGTGCGTTGGTCCTGGATGCTCACTCGGCCTCGGTTGCAAGGCTGTTCGCCTGGCTTCCACTGTTCTGGCCTGTTCTGATTTGCGTGCTTGCTCTTGCTCTTGCCCCGACAAGGCCTTTGTTCTCGGCAAGGTGTATGCGGAAAACCTTGCCGAAAATCTGCGCTTGCAGGCGGCTGGTGAGGATTTACTTGTTTCCCCCCAATCGGGGTTGCCAGATGCTAATCCTGCCGTGCACAAACAAGCTAAGCTCACAAAAATGCAGCCGATTATGCCCGAGTTCAAATACATGGTCAGCGTGCACGTCGCTGATTGCTCCCAGCTTCGGCTGGATGACAAAAAGTGCCTGCAAACCGCTTTGCAGTCCGTTCCCAAGGGTGCTAGGCTCCTTAGGCTCGCTTTTCTTGGGGGTGGTTCTCTTAAGCCTAAGTCCCTCTCCCCTTTGCCGAGTACCCCTGCCACCGCCACGTTTGGCCTGTTTCGGACTCCTGATGAGTTCGTTGCTGCAAGCTTGCGCCTCGAGCATCCGTTCGACGCTTTTGCACACGTGCCTGATGGTCTCATCAGGAATTTGGGGCGGCTGCTTATCGACGGTCCCTTGCCCGTCATGCGACGCCGGCTTGACCTACTTACCAAGTGGTCTGCGTGGGCCGATGAACTGGCCGAGCCTGAGAGAGCTCTTCATGCTTCGCTTGATCCTAGAGTTGGTGCGGTCCTTTCTGGCAAGAAGTTGCTGTTGCTGGATCGTATCGCCAAATCCCTTGACTGGCCAGACGAAGATCTTTTAAGGACCTTAAGGAGGGGTTCGGCATAGTGGGATCCGCGCCTGTCACGGGGGTTTTCGCACCATCCTTTAAGCCTTCGGAGTTCACTGAGGAGGAGCTTGATCAAAGATCGAAATTCTTGCGACCGGCCCTGTGGGCCAAAATCTCATCTTCAAAACCTGAGGATTCCGATGCCGAGCTTTGGAGCCAAACTCTTGCTGAGAGGGATCAGAAATCCTTTCTGAGCGGCCCGTATAGCTACCAGGAGCTCACTGAGATTTTGGGTCCGCGCTGGATACCTGTACGGAGGTTCGCGATTTTCCAACGAGGGAAGCTGAGGTGCATTGACGATTTGTCCGAGAACAGTGTCAACTCGTCCTGGGAGGTGGCAGAAAAGATTGACCTGCGTGCGATGGACGAACTCCTTTGGATAACATCGAGGCTCATGCAATCCATCGTTGATCGAGGATTTGTCAACCTTCGTCTTTCTTCTGGTGAAGTGATCAGCGGCCCTTTGCATACCGTGTGGCGCACGCGGCCTGAGTCCGCGCGCCCAGTCTTGAAGTGCGTGGATTTGAAGTCTGCTTACAAACAGTATGCTATAAGGCCATGTGACAGCAAGAGGTGTGTGGTCAGCCTCCGGCGGCCCTCCGACGGGCAAGCCGTCGGTTTCATTTCACATACCCTACCCTTCGGCTCGCTCGCGAGCGTAGGGCAGTTCAATCGCGTTGCCCGCTTGATTCACCGCATCCTTATTGAGCTGGAGTGCCTGGCCTGTAACTATTATGACGACTACCCAGTGCTCGATGTGAGTATGCTTTCGGCCAACACTGAGAAGACGATCCGCAAGCTCATGCGCCTCCTGGGCGTGATCTGCTCGGAGGACAAGGAGTTGCCTTTCTCTTCGGTGGCCGATCTCTTGGGGGTTCGCTTGGACCCTTAGGGCTAAGGATTTTTCTTGCGTCACTGTTGCCAACAAGCCTGACAGGGCTCGCGAAATTTCCGAGTCGGTCGCTAAAGTCCTATCGGATGGCCAGGTGGTGGTCAGAGAAGTCGACAGCTTGTTTGGAAGGATTCAGTATGCCGATTCCCAAATCATGGGCCGCAGGGGCAAACTGGCTTTGAGCACGCTTAGGAAGCTCTCGCGAGGCTCTGGAGTTCATCGACTTTCTCCTACTGATCGCGAGGCCTTTGCTGTCTTGCAGATGCGCATGGATGCTGGCGAGCCCAGGCGCATACAGGTTGGAAGCTCCGGACCCTCACTTGTTGTTTTCACTGATGGCGCATGCGAGCCTGGTGCTGCTCGATCGCTCTGCACCGTTGGGGGAGTACTTTATGCTTCTTGGAATGGGGCTGTAAAGGTCCGATACTTCGGGGTCACGCTGAGTGACTCCTTGGTCGACCTATGGGCCGAGAGCGGCAAGAAGCATCTGATAGGGCTTGTTGAGTTGTATGCTTTGGTGCTCGCGAGATTCGTCTGGGGTCGACTCCTCGACGATCGAAGGGTGCTTTACTTCATCGATCACGTGGGAGTGCTCGCCGCTACCATCAATTGCACATCTAGGGACGAGCTGTGGAGGACTCTGC